ACTGGAGCGCCATTCAGATGGATGGGGGATCGGGCACCGTTTTCTGCTTCAGTGGTGAGGGATCAAGGCATTGACAGTGCATGACCCAAGCAATGCAACTGAGCGAGAATACTTCCTGCGCCAGGACCATGTATTCAATGCCGACATGTTCAGTACTCCTGGTGATGATGTCTTTGTTGACGTTGCACTTGAGCTGTCTGTGAAGGAGGGAGCAGTTATGTGGCACTCTGATGGCCATGCAGTCGCGCTACAGAGACTACTGCAAATGCATCAGACCGAAGCCAACAAGTGGACGCGTTTCGGTTACTACAATTACAAACGGGATACATGTGCACATCTCACCTCCGTCGCAGGATGTCACATCACAACACATACCACACCGCTCGGACAATTCAATGCAACCTTTGTCCAGATGTACACAACCGATAAATGCCTTACCTATGACATGCGGGCAAGCAATAATGCCAAGTTTGTTACAGCAGTTAATCTGATGAAGAAGTCAAAGTACACATACAATGAGTTTCTTGGGAAATTGTACGGTGTCTTCGCAGATGCAGCATGGCATAACGATGTACACGCACGGATTGAGGCACGAGTCCCACTGGCTAATGCGGAAGATGTGTTCGCAGATGTTCCAGTTGCGAGCTTCTTGGATCTGGTGTATTGTGTTCCACGACAAGACTGGTGGTGAGCCCATTTCTAGAAGCTATATAATGATGAGGATCAGGGCTAATAGTATCCACAGGCAATTTAAATCTGCCAGAGCTCTCAGATTTGTGACATTGATCCAGTGGCAGAATGAAGAGCACAACACAGACATGCGACACCATTACTATCCAGTCATCCTGACATGTCTTGTCGCATTTATGGTGAATTCACTTCATGCACGGCCAGAAGAGCGATCAGGACACAAGATGTTGATGCATGCCATCTGGCCGCGAATGTACTGGCAGGAAGATCATCACATGATCCTTCCATGCACGCGAAAGAGAGACGGGACAGATGAGCCAGGACCATATGCAGAGGGAGGACTCTGGTGGATTCCAAGCAGTGTGATTGCGTGGCCAACATGGAATGGAGGTGGTACAAGAATACCATGATGCAAGAGTGTCATCCAAGTGCCCAGTGAGGCAGGTTGGAATTTGTTGGGCATTAGAAAGACACTGAATGAGTTCTGTTCTGAAGATAGTCGCATGAAG